ATTGTTGAGCGTTTAGTGGCACTTCACCCACTCAGTCGATATTGGTTGGTTGTACCGGGGTTCATGGTGGGGGTGAATAGTAAAAGAGGGGCCTGTAAAAGCAGACAGGTGGAAACCCTGTGGTCATCTCTGCTGTGTGCATCCACAGCTAGTGTGCTGCTCTGGGTACTGGGAGGCGGGAGTAGGGGGAGTGGACTCAACCTGCTTTACCCCTACCGTGTGGGGAAAGGGGTCCTACAGGAAGTGATTATCCAAGCTGAAGCCCGAGGAGGAAGGGGTTATGCTAGCCAGTGTCCCTGGCTCTCAGTATTTCACTTGAAGATGTTTTGCCGATTCCAGGAGCTTCTACGGTGTATTTTAAGTAAAAATGTTTCCATCTGATAACTTTAAATTGTGGGCCTGTCATCACCATTCTCATCTAGGTTAGAAATCCTAAGGCCTGAAAATCGGTGGCATAAACCAAAGTTTTCGAAACTGCTGAGTTGAAGGGAGGAAGAGTGAGTAGTTGTCTGTGATCTCAGTCCCCAGTGAGTATAATCCTTATGTGGTCTGAGCCAAGACACACAGCTTCTGTGTCTCTGTGTTCTGGAAAGTGGATCTTAGAAGAAAATATAGCCTCACTCATTGTCTCTTTCCTAAGGAGTTCTGATAATAACTCGCAACATGTGGGAAAGCCTGCACATCCTTTTGGAGGAAAGACTTGGGTCAGTCTGCCTGAGGCATGTGGTACCCCATCTGACTTGTCGGATGAGATCAAAGTCCCTGCAGACTGTCAATTACTGCTGTGGGAGAAGTCGGTAGTGGGTGGGGAGACCGGCGTCCTGGGGGCAGCGTGAGTGAGTTAATGCCCAGACAGAGGCCCACTGTGCAGGTAAGTGGACCCGTGTATAGATAAGACAGGGAAAGACAAAAAGATAATTCCAAGGTGCTGAGTTGGCGGGCCACCCCAAGTGCATTCTAGAACTGTCTTCCATCTGGAGTCACTGTCACACTCCTTTTCATCAGAATATATGCTTGTTTGTTGTCCAGATTATTCTAGAAGAGTTTAAGGCAGGAGTGTAGGTGCTGGCAAATGCTCCTGGACCTTCCAGGGTGATTTCTGATGATGTGTGTATCTTCCAACTCACCCACTCTGGTTCTCGGACCTCCCTGTCCAGTCCTCTGAACCAGCCTGGGGCAGAAGCATGAGGCTTAGCAGGCAGGCTGCTGTGGTGTTTAATGGATACAACACTTCTGTATGGTCTCCCAGCCCCTCAGAGAAGAGATGGGAAAGAGAGACCGGAAAACCACATGTCCGTTTTCTGGGAGGCCTGTTTAAATACCCTGTAGGAGTGGTCGTGAGCATCTCTAGGGAGGAGTCATCATTTGGCAGACTTTCCGAGATGCAGCAGTGTTTAGATAGGGGAGAGGGGCCTGGGTGGAACTCCCACCAGAACATTCCAGACTCTTTGGGTATATGGATGCTGGGGGCTGGGGTGGAGCTCCCACCAGAACAGTCACCTGGGACTGCAGTCGTACATTCACATGGTGTATTTAGTTCTGTACCCACCTGCCCTGGTCCTCTGACTGCCCGTGGCTCTAGAGGGCGGGGCTGAGACCCTGGTCTGGGCCCATTAAAAATCCTTAATAGATGAGGTGATCACACGTGCCCCGTGCGTGCGTGCGTGCGTGCGTGCGTCTTTCTCACATTGACGATCCTCTTCCTGCCCTGCCATCGCCTGTGACACCCACAGCCTGTGGCTCTGTCTCTAGGTGTGTCCCGGATGGGGGACGGGAAGAGAGAAGGACTAGAACTTCAGAGGGCCAGCCACTGTACAGCAAGGGCAGAGCCAACAACTGCGGTTTAAGTAAAAATGAGGAAGCTATTAAATGCCACAAAGGCCTTCTGAAACGCCTGCCCGTGGTTGTTTTTTTCCAGTAGAGGACACTAAGGTCCAGGGGACACCTGGAAAGGACAAGTCCAGCCCTTTGTGGCAGAGTGGATGATGCCAGTGGGTGGGTTGAAGGGTGCTTTGTTTTTTGAGATTACATTTCCTTGTGTGGGGGGAGGGCAGGGTGGGGAGGGTACGACATGGACAGTTAGCAGGAGTTGAATCTCTCCTCCTACGTCTTTTCCTGCAAATGGAGCTCAGGTGTCAGCCCAGCAGCTCTCCTCCTTGCTGGCTCACCGGCTATCGGAGTATGATTTCTGCATTCACAAAATCTTTACACGGGGGTGTTGTACGGGGAGATTCCTTTGAGTCTACTTTGCACCTCAACCTAAGCCAAATGTTTGTCTGTCTGGTGTTTCGAGGGTCCTGTGAGAATTTCTAAGTGAGGGTGGCTTGAATTTGGTAGGTTTTGGCCTGTTAACTCTCACCGGCCAACGCCCTTCTATCCTTCCCGTATAAACTGGTTTTTTTATTATTGTTGTTGTTTTTTGTTGTTGTTGTTTTAGTTGTAGCTACTTTGTGTAACCATTGGAAAAAGCTCTACAATGAAGACATTATTGTAAGTCAGAAATGAAAATAGGGTTATTAAGCACATGCCATGTGTGGGCAGTATGCTAGACAGTTAGTATACATTATCTAGAGCTTCTGGAATGACTCCACAAGACAGGGATAATAATAATAATGGCTAATTTGCTGAGTGCTTAGTATGCCCTGGGTCCCGTTCTACATGTTTTACCTGTGTTATCAAAGTGTCTCAACAACCATATGCAAAGAGTGGCGCTTTGCATCCATGTCACAGACGGAAGAGCAGCGGAGCAGACAGGACAACGTTACCCAGCTGCTCAGGGCTCACTGCTCATGCTCCACAACTGTGTTTTTAGCCCTTGTGCACAGTACCTTATTTTGTTTTCCCTACAGCTGAGGAGCCGGAGGCCCAGTGTTTACTGGCCCAGTGCCATTAGTGTCACGAGCGATATAACCTCAAGCAAGCCTTAGCCGTCAAGCTTAGAATTCTGTTGAGTACCTAGGGGGAGGTGGGGATGTATAGATGTCAGCAAGTGTAGAATCCAGTTTTGCGTGGCTACAATGAAATACCTAAGGCGGGCTAACTTGATCAAGAAAGGGGTTTTATTAATCTCCCAGTCTGGAGGCTGCAAGTCCCAAGTGTGGCAGGCTTCTTGGCTTGGTCTCTGGCAAGAGCCCTCAAAGGCTACACCATATCCTGTCGGATTGCATTATGGCTGGGAGCACAGATCATGAGCAGAAGGCCACCATGCAAAACGGGAAGGTGGATGATGTTTCAAGGGCCAAGTTTATCTGTATATCAGCCCACTCTTCCAAGGGCAGGGCTATTAGTGCCCCCTCCCCCCATGCGATACTACACCTTATATGACCTACTGCTCTGCAGAGGCTGTCAGTCTTTGAGAGACACCTTCAAAACTGATCCAGACCACGATTAAGGTAAAGAGAGAAACACTGCACCTTAAGAATAGAAAACCTCAGGGCTGGAGGGTTGGCTCAGTGGTTGAGAGCACTGGCTGCTTTTCCAGAGGACCCTGGTTCAAGTCCAAGCATGTACATGGCAGCTCACAGCTGTCTGTAACTCCAGTTTCACCCATGGCAAAGATACCAATGCACATATAATAAAAATAAATAAAATTTAAAAAGAATAGAAACCCCCAGCTGAGCCCTGAGCCCCTCCCCAGTACCCTGGGATAAAAGTTCTTTTTATTTGTCTTAGGATTCAAGAAAGATCGTTCTTTGACTTCATTCTGTGTTCTAAAAAATAGGAGACCAGATGGCCAGGCTTAATCTCGGCAGCTGCTTGGTAATCCTTCCCTTTTGGCCAAGGCATATGCAGAGGCGGAGCAGCCTTCCCCTGCCGCTCACAGGTCCTGCCATTGGATCTCAGAGACTTAGGAAAACCCTTGAAGACAAACTGCAAATAACCATCGCGAGGCTGACCAAACCCACTTCTGGGGGGTTGGTGAGATGGCTCAGTGGGTGAGAGCGAGTTGGGTCCCAGGAATCCATGTAAAAGACCAGATGTAGGGGTGCCTATCTGCAATCCCGTCCCTCCTGCAGGGTGAGTCTCCTGGGCTAGGTAGCCCGGAACACACAGCACAGTTGAAATGAGAGAATCGGGGAGAAGAGAACCAATTCACCAAAGGTGTCCTCTGACCACGGGAGCCGTGGCATGCACACACCCATACTCACTTTTATACACCACACACAGTAATAGTAACATCAAATAAAAACATTAAACTAGTTCAAAGCTTGAATCAGGGCCAGTGTGATAAAGAGGAGACATCGAGGGTGTCAGGAAATTCTAGATCCAAGTCTCTCCTGAGGCGAAATATGCTGTTCCCATGGCAGACAGCCCTGGCAATGTGGGCTCCCTGGGAGTTTGGAGGAGAGGAGTTACAGGGATGGTGTTCCCTGGCCTGCGGACGGGAGGCTGGATTGAAACGGGTGCACAAAAGGCTTGCCTTCCAACACGGTAGAACCTAAACAGTCTGGAAGAGTTGCAGCCCAAGAGTTGGCACATGTCCCTCCTGAGCTGGCACCACTGAGCAGAGCGTGGGCCATTCGCTTCACTTGGAGATTATGCTCCTCACACAGAAGCTGAGGAATGACTTGGTTTCAGGGAAACCGCGATGGTTCTGATCAGTGAGTTCAGTTTCCAATTGTCTGTCAACAGTTAAACAGTTAACGTAGCTGAGATACGGCCGGTGGTGGAGCATTTGTCCAGCTTGCACAGAGCCCTGGGTTAACCTTGAGGACTGCAGTGCTGGGGCCTTGTGCATGCTTGGGGGAGCATTTTACGTCTAAGTTACACCAAAGTCCCAGGGCTGCAAAACAAAAAAAATAATTACCGTATCTTTCAGAGAAACAGACAGAAAGGGTGGAAGGATGTGGATTTGCTGTCTTTAAGGCAGAGAGCTCGGGGTGCAGACTGTGGATCCTGTTTTAGTTCAGCTGTTTTGTTCTGGCTCCGGTCCGTGTTCATGTGTTTTCCAGTGAGAAAAGCCGACCACACTCAGCTGTTTATTGTCTTGTTTTTAACAGAGATGTGGGTGCAGACCCGGGCCATGTAGATCCTGGTGCGTCTAACTCCCTCAGCTCAGAGCGGCTCACCTGCGGTCCCCAGCACCGGAAAGCAACATGGTCAGGAGGGGTGAAACTTCGGCTAAAGCAGAGGTAGGAGACATGGAGGCAAACAGTGTAGAAGAAGACTGGTCCACCCTCAGGGGCAAAGACGCGGGCTGCCGGGAGAGGGAAGGGGCTGAACAAGGGGGTTACAGAGGTTAAAGTTCACAAGGGGGATGATCTTGTTTGTTTTAGACCTGGGGATTGAGCATTCTGTCTTGAAATGATAGCAAGTACTCTACCAATGTGCTATTAGACATTAGACATGTGAACTTTGTACTCATATAGTGGCACATGCCTTTAATCCTACTACTTGGGAAGCAGAGACGGATGGATCCATGAGTAGGAGGCTAGCCTGGTCTACATTACAAGTTCTAGGTCAGCCAGGGCTGCAGAGAGAGAGAGAGAGAGATTGGCTCTATCTGTGCCTACCTAGATTTACTTGTTTGGATTTTCCTTGTTTTTGTTTTTTATTTATGTATTATGTATACAGTGTTCTGTATGCAGACCAGAAGAGGGCACCAGATCTCATTACAGATAGTTGTGAGTCACCATGTGGTTGCTGGAAATTGAACTGAGGACCTCTGGAAGAGCAGTCAGTGCTCTTAACCGCTGAACCATCTTTCCAGCCTGGATTTTCCATGTGTGGTTTTTTTTTTTTTTTTTGGATTTTCCATGTTTAAGATACACAAATACACATTAAAGTATCTGTTATGTAGTAAGAAACACTTAATGTTTACATTAAGACTATTTATTATATTCCATTTTAAGAAAGATACTTGAAAGTAGTCTGAGCGTGCCAGAGGGCCAGCGAAGGCAGCCACCTGGAGAGTGCGGGTAGGCAGGACACAGGCTGAGAGTCTCGGAGCCATCGGGCAGGCTTGCTCTGAGGCTGTCACCGCTGCCTTTGGTCACCTCGTGTCTTCACAGTGCAGAGAATCAATATCATCTGCTGGGCTGTGTAGGTGAACCCTGTGTCACTGACAGAGCCTGGAGGTCAGGAAGTTGTCATTCGGACACCTGCTGCTCTAACCTGGGAAGATCCTGACACGAGATGACACAGACTCAAGATGGATTGAGGACCAGAGTTAATAGCAGATGAGAGTATGGGAAAAGGAGAAGGACAGTTCACGAATGGTTCCCAGGGACACTGCTGTGGGGCCCTTGGAGACTCTTGGCCACCCCTGGCAGAGCAGAAGGAGCAGAGAGGACACAGAAAGAGAGAGCCTGCTGATTCAGAGTAGGAATTCAGGCTGGGTGTGGCCGTACAGGTCTTTATTTAATCCCAGTATCTGGGGAAGCAGAGACGGGTGGCTTATCTGTGAGTCTCATGTCTGTTGGGCTACCTAGGAGGCTGTCTCCACAAGAGAGGTAGAATGACAGTCAATGTTCTCTGGCCTCCACATTCATGCATGCAAACACACACATGAAGACACATATGCGAAGAAAATATTTTGTGAGCAGTCCTTGAAAAGTTAAACAAAGCAGATGAACTTAAATATATCTGTTTGGTAGCCTTGCCATAAGTAAACCGTATTTAAATCTGGCCAGCGATGCTGGGTGCTCTGCTGTATTCCTGTAACACTTGCCTCCTAGGGGAGTCTAAAGTGAGCGCATAGCCGGCAACACAGCAAGCTCCTTTCTCGAACAGGCAAATAGAAAACTAGTCAGTCATCACTCCAGCACAGTCAGCAGTGGTGTCTGTATGGAGGGAGAGTGCCAGGACTTTCTTCTTAAAGTCCTGAGCTTTGGGTGGGACAGAGGTCATGGGGTGGGGCTTGTCTAGCATGGTGCAGCCTGGGTCTCATCCTGAGCACCTTATAAGCTAAGTAAGCACGGTAGCGTCTTAAATCTCAGCACCGAGGAGGCGGAGGCAGGAGGATCAGATGTTCAGAAGCATTCTCAGCCTCATAGAGAACTTGAGGCCAGCCTGGGATACATGGCACCTATCTTAAACACAAACAGTCTTGAGTTTGACTGGGTGTCGCACACATCAGCACTGTTCACCGTGTGTGCCTGGACTTGTACATGTGCGGGCCTCGTCTCCATAACTGTAGCTATAAGGCTCTGCGGTCATACTTCCTAATCCCATCCCCCAAGGTCACCCAACTGTGTTAGCTGCTGTGACAAAATGCCTGCCAAAGCAGCTTAGGGAAGAAAAGCTTGTTTTGGCTCACAGTTTGGGGACACAACCTGCCGTGGTGGGGGAGGCGGCCACGAGGGCAGCCGTAGCTGAGGCAGCAGGAGTGGAGGAGGCTGCTCACGCTGCACCTCCATCTGGAAGCTGAGAGAAGCGAATGTCACTACTCAGGTCTCCCTTTCCTTTTTTTAATTTCCATTTATTTATTTATTTGTTTGTTTGTTTCTTCGAGGCAGGGTTTCCCTGTGTAGCTTTGTAGATCAGGCTGGCCTTGAGCTCACAGAGATCCGCCTGCCTCTGACTCCCAGTAGCTGGGATTAAAGGCATGCGCCACCACCACCCGGTTTCCATTTTTTTTAAAATCCCACCTGACCAACAGTTTGGTGTAGCCTTTATTCAGGATAGGTCTTCCTTTCTTAGCCAAACCTCTCTAGAAACACTCTTGCAGAGAAGCCAGATGTGTGTCTCCTAGGTGACTGCAAGTCCAGCCAGACGGACAGTGAGGAAGACTGAACTTAAAAATTGGAGTGCCTCTCATTCACCCAGCTATATTCATTTAGATCCTAACTTTTTTTTTGCACTGTATTAATATATTGGCTTTATTTGTGCCCATTCAGACACCTCACAGACAACAACCAGATAAAAAGACCATTAAATAAAACGCCTTCAGCTATTGCAATGCAAAAATATATATCAAGCGCGCTGCGCCCCAAGCCCAGATCCTAACTCTTAATTGCTTTAGCTTTTACTTATCCTGAAATCACTATAGACTCATAAATAGTGCTAGTAATTTCCCAAACCTGCTACCCAGCTTCTCCCTAATGTTAGTACACAAGTATCAGAGTAAGAAACTGGGCACTAGTAATTGATAATACTGCAGACATTAAGACTTTAGAAACAGCAGATTATGAAGATTGGCCATTTTCTTCCCTACTAGTTTTTTCTGCTTAGGAATGCTACTTTACAGTTTTCACATTCCTTATTCATCTCTTAATTTGTAACACTTTCTTAGTCTTTTCTTGGCTTTTGCAACGCTCGAATTTTTTTTAAAACAGCATTTCTTGTGTTTGGAGATCAGAAGACAAGTTGTGTGAGTTGATTCTCCGTTGACTATGAGGGTCCTGAGGATCACACTCGGATGGGCTTGACAGCAAGCACCTTCACCCACAGTGTCATCTTCCCAGCCCTGAAGCCTGTGCACCACAGCTGATAGTTGCTAGATTGTTGTTTCGTCTTCACTTGTCAAATGCTCTCCCTGGGAGCCTCATCCTACAGCAGTGAACTTGCTGTCTTTAAGCGAAGTGGCCAGTTACTATGTAGAATGCCTTCGATTTGGAGGTTTCTGGTATTTTCTCATGGTGAAGTTGAGGCTTAGGCATTTTTGACAGGAATCATTACATGATCTGTGTCTTTCCCAGTCTCTTGCATCAGGGTTCATGATGGTGATGTTTCATTACTGCTGATGGCAACTTTGGTGACTTGGTTATGGTGAGGTCCCCATGTTTCTCCACTGTGAGGAGCACTGTTTGTCCCTTTGCAATTCATGATTATGTTGGAGAGTAACATTGAGGCTATATGTAATGTTTCTCTTCAATCTTTCTTTTCACTAACTTTAAAATCTGTTGCTGTTATGTGTGACAACAGGAATGTTTTAGAAGGTATTCTGTATTTTCTTCATCCCTTCTACGTCTATTCATCGGGATTCTTCTGCAAGGAACTACTTTCTCTTCCCTCACCCACCTACTTTTCCAGTAATTGATTTACATCAGCAAGTTCATATTTATTTTATCTGATGGGTGATAACCCTAGGCTTCTGTTATTTATGTTGTTGCTTCAGATTGTCTCAATACTGACTGTTTGAAGTAATTTCAGGCTGGCTGTGCTCTAAATTCCATTCTGAAACATATAAAGGCTTGAAGTACTGTTATTTTGATTTTACTGGTACAGAAAGTAAAAAATGATGCTCTTATCTGTGGAGTCAAACAAGTGTTGAGGCAGGAGGCTAGCAGCGGGTACCTTCAGGAGGCCAGTACCATAACTTTGAAAATTGGAAACTTCTAGGGTCACTTCATGGACCAAATACAAGAGGTCAGAATTCTACCCAGCTCCTCCTTCATTTAGCAAGCCAACCTTCCTTCCCCAGTGTGCAACAGAAATCCCATTCCCCAGTGTGCAACAGTAATCCTCCTTCCCAGTGTGCAACACCAATCCTATTCCCCAGTGTGCAACAGTAATCCTGTTCCCCAATGGCTGAGACTGGAGAATATTGAATTCAAGTCCACCCCAAACTACATCCAGAGACCCTGTTGCAGGGAGAGACACAGAAGGAGAGTACTTTGCCTTTGTTTGTTTGAAGTTGGGTCTTACTATGTATCCTAGGTCAGCCTAGAACTTTTGATCCTCTGGCTTTTGCTGTGATTTCAAGTGTGAACCACCACACCCAGTGGGAGGAATGAAGAATCTTTACGATCTCACCTATCTTGGCAGAAATGTTTCCCTAAATATCTGTGGAGCTCTGGGTTAGGGTAATTAGTAATGAGTCTGTAATGGAGACAAGTTATTCTAGCTTACAACCAAGGATTTTCCACTCCAGCGCCTCCGTGTTCCTTTACCAGTTGCCACTGCCGTTAGAATAACTACCCGGGATCAAACTACATTCATTCTCTCTCACACACACACACACATACACACACCCCTCCTAGTTCTCTCAGTGGGGCATTTTGTCCACAGCTGCCTTCTGCCTGCTCTCCAGATAACGTGTCTGGGAGAAACTCCGATGAGACCTACAAGAGCTGATGCTTCAAGAGCGGAAGCAGTGAGCATCCATGGTTCACAAGCAACGTTTCACAAGGGGAGGAGACTTCCTGACTTTGGCTTTGGGTGCATCCTCCCCTGTCCACAGAGTCAAAGT